AATGATAAATAAAAGTTGACCGTAAACGTTACTTTCAATTTATTTATTTTAAACAAACGCCGAAAACCGTTTCGAGCAGAAATTCAGAAAATCAACCTTCATTTTGTTTTTTGTTTTTTTAACAAAAACAATAGCTTTTTGTTTTTTGTTTTTTTGTTTTTAAACCCCTTTTTTAATTTTTAAATAGCAAAAGTATTAAGTACTCAGACTATTTAATCAACATTTTTTTTCTCTCGTCTACGGTAGTCGTTTAGAGATAAGCTAGTAGTCATAAGGTAAGATATGACCAAGAAAGACAACACTCCTTCTAAGAAGCGTAGAGCTGAATAGAAGATGGAGAGGGAAGTCGCTAGCCCTGCCGCAGCTATTGCTGCTGCAAAAGCAACCGACGCCGCTGCTGATGCATTTAAGCGCACTGTAGCCAAAGTACTTGCCTACAATGCTTCAGACAAGGAAGTAGCCTCTCCGCTTAAGGAGACTACTCCTTCTGACAGAGCCCGAGGGCCAACTATTGCCTCAACCTCAAAGCTTGCATTAACGAAGCCAAGAAGTGAGACAAGGGATAAGTCTCAAGACGCCCCAACCCATTCTTCTGACGAAAATCAGAAAGAAAAGTCTCCAATTATGAGGGCGTCTCCAATTATAGGGGACAAGGACAAATCTCAGAAGGAACCTATTATGGAACCAGAGGAGGAGGCAAGAGTAGCAAACCCAAATCTACGTCCGAGACTTCTAAGCCGGAGCACATAAGTAAGCTAATTACTAAATACGCTGATCTTAAGAATCAGTTAGCTACTATTATGAAAGACTTGACTGTCGAACATGTAGATCAACTAGATAGATCAGGAAAACATACACAGCGCTTACGCGAGCATGTTTCTCCGGGCATTACTGAAGCCCTACAGAAGTGGACAGAACGTCGACAGGCAATTACGCCCAAAGACTCAAGCTCGACACCTGAGTCATATGATCCAGAAGTGCACGGCGTCGATATATCGCACGAGGTATTACTGCCAGAAGAACAGGTTAATCATTCGCCTGTTCTGACACCCGGCCGTGAGTCATCTGTCCTCAAAGGTATTTTAGACCGAGAGGTAAGGAGATATACTCCGCCACTTGTACCCAATTGGGAGGATAATCGTCGGGACCCAGTTAAGACTGGGTATGTTATTTCGACGCCAAGGGATATTAATCATCCCCGCAGACGTGTGAACGATATCGAGTTTAATCGCTACGACCGCACGGCTTTACACCAACCCGCAGAGGATTTCCACTCTGACGAGGTGACCAACCATAATAAATCGGTCGACGACTATACCAATAAAATGGAAGTCGCCCATGCTGCGCATCATGCTGATGACGTAGAATACTATGCGAATATTATTGCGATTAAGCAAAAGCGCATAGACCAACTACTTCAGGCCCAACGTGGAAAGACCACAGGGACAACCAGAAGTACAAGGGACATATCAGTCGATTTAAGTCGAACTGGGATGCCAACAGCAAGCAGGTCGAGTTTATAAACAACCATGACCTCGACACGCTAACTTGTACGCTTAATACGTTTACGGTCATGCTGGAGACGAATGATATCGCTCCCCAGCAATGGATCTCTGCCTTAATGCAGACATTTGACCCTACAGGTACCAATTATCTGATCCTGCAGCGACACTCGCATGAGCTTGACACTTGTCGTGACTGGCCAGCTGTGTGTTGGTTGGTCACGTCCTTGTTAAGTAAGGATATGCGTAGCCCTGGGCTGAGTTCAATTTTAAATGAACCAGCCGAGAACACGCCCATTCAGAGTTATATACTGAAGTTAGACGCTGACCTGAAACGTCCCGATATAACAAAGGGCAAGGCACAGCGATGGTACAAATACCTGGTTATGCACGTGTTCTGTAAGAACATAGGGGCTAACGACCGTGAGAGTCTGTACACCGAGTTGCGACGTAAACATGCGACTGGGGCTCGAGACAAGGGACATGAAACAAAGTTTTATCTATCCCGACTTACATGGGAACAGTTTTATGATACTGTATCCACTCTTGTTCCCGCACATCGAGTAACATCGAAGGGAAAAGCGGCTGTTAAGAAGCCGTGGGAGCTCACCGATCACGGGTACGTATCCAGGCAGACCTCAAACGAGAGACCCCAACATACACGTGCTCGCGAATCCACTTTATCCACGCGACCCAATAAACGGGCACGCGTAGGAGCAAAGGACATGGAACCTCCATTTAAGGAGATTAAGAAATGTGCCGACGCCCAGTGTGGACATGACATGAATAAGTTAACCCCTAACGGTTATTGGAATGGTAGACATGCATCTACCTGTACACACTTTCTTACTAAGTGTGACAAGTGTGAGAAGACCAATGGCTATCACACTAAGTCTTGTGACCGAAAGCCCAACATTAAGTTGGAGTGACGGTACTACCAGATACAATCGTTACACAGACAATACAACGACTCTTTAGATGAGCGTGTAATAATCCCTGTATATTGCAATGGAAATAGAATCCTTACGTTGATTGATCCTGGTTCCGAAATATCATGTATATCCGATCGCTTTGCATTAATGAAAGATATCGAAAGGAGAAAACAAACAACTCATCTCATTTTAGCTGATGATTAAACTGCTAAGTGTGATACCATGGCCACAGATGTTAAAATCTCCCTGGCCGATGATAGGAGTATCACTACTCAAGCTGTGATAGTTAAGATGTCACATAATTACGACATTATAGTCGGAATGAGCGATTTACTCACTCTAGGTATAACCGCGACTGGTCTACCAACTAACATAGATCCATTAAAAGATCAATCAGTCGATAACTGTCTGAAACCATATAAGCCCCCGTCAGACACAGTCAAGGCATTAATACCTGACTTTGTGGACAAAATCATGGATCTTATTCTAGTAAATATGAAGATAAAGATCACAGATTGGGCAAAATTCCGTTTTAACGACAGATATGTCAGCCTTGACTTAACCAAGGTAGACTTTACACAGTTAAAGTATCCCTCAAGGAACTATGTATCCTGGAGACACGAGGCTGTTGTAAAAGAAAAAGTTGAGAAATGGCTAGCAGATGGTGTGATAGAAATTAACTTTCAACAAACGCCAGTTAACTTGGCACTGCTAGCCGTAGACCAACATAACTCTGACGGATCGTTTAAGAAAGTCAGAGTATGTTTAGATATGAGTCCAATAAATAAATTATTGCCGACTCATAGCTTTCACTTACCTCGTATTAACGAGCTACTGCGAAGGATGGAAGGTGCTACAGTGTTTACAACTATAGACCTTACACAAGGATACCATCACATGCAGGTATATGAACCCCACCGTAAATACTTTAGCTTTACGTGGAAAGGCAAACAATACCGGTTCAGAGGTGCACCTTTCGGGTTACAATCTTTACTAGCATTCTTCCAACAAGTAATGGAAGAAATTTTTGCAGACATGCCTAACATGCAAGTCTATATCGATGACATAGTCATCTTTTCCAAGACTACAGGCGAACACACCGCATTAGTCAGACGAGTCCTTAAGAGACTCAACGAGAAAAACTTCAAGATTAACGAGAAGAACTGCCACTTCGCAATGAGCGAAATACAGCTCTTATGCTATCATATATCTGGGGAAGGTATTAAAATCGATCCCGGTAAGGTAGATCACCTGTTAGATTGGCGAACACCAGCTACAGGAAGAGTTGTTAACAACATGTGTGGGTTTGTAAACTTCTTTTCAAATGGAGTACCACACTTAGCTGACTACCTTAAACCTTTTGGACACTTAAGATGTCATAAAGGCAAACTAGGAGACTTGTGGACTAAAGAGTGTGATGACTCATTTAAAGCGCTCAAACACGCAGTCCAACAAGTCCCAGTTGTACAAGGACCAGTCGATGGCCTGCCGTTTGAAATAGCAACGGACGCATCAGACTTAGCCTTAGGAGGAGTATTATATCAGGTTATAGATAACAAACCTAGATATATATAATTCTTTAGTCGAGCAATGAATGCTTCACAGTTGAAATATACAACTGTTAAACAAGAGCTATTAATCATAGTGGCAGCTCTAACACACTTCCGAGATTACTTATACGGAACAGCATTTACGCTGATGTGTGATCAGATATCTCTTCAATATATGAAAGAGATGAAACCCGGCTCGCAATTACTGAGTCGCTGGCCTGATACAATATCAAAGTTTCATTTTGATATAAAACATCTGCCAGGAATACATAACCATTTACCGGATATGTTATCACGCTTCGTACCGGACTTCAATAAATCCGAACGTGAGTTACTAGCCACTGACTGGAAATGTAACCCCAGGTGGTTTGAACTGGCTCAAAACATAAATGGGCCACATACCATAGATATGTTTGCTGCACATCATAATGCACAACTATCGAATTACAGGACTTCAAATCATCCTATGGGAGACGCCTTTCAAATAGACCTCTCCCAACATAATGCGTGGGCTAATCCACCATAGAAGTTAATTGCCCAGCTATTAAATTATGTTCATATACATAAAGTTACCATCACGTTGTGTTGCCCATTACGGAGTAAAGATTCATGGCTCAATAAATTGATCAGCATGATTCAATACGAACCAATATATTTAGATAGGGAAGTAGATACTTTCCTATATCAGGGTAACCGAGCCGTCCAGAAGACGCCCTGGAGACATACTATAATATGTCGTATAGGTCCAATTGGAACAACCAAATGAACCCCTTCTGAGACCTTCCTTAACCAGGTCCAAGAATTAGATATTCCACTCTCTACCCAATTAAACGTTAAGCAGTTCAAAGGCAACACAACACTTGAAGTCTGTGCACAATAAATACAATCTACTAATGACACTGTTAAGAAGCGTCAGTCTCTAGCTAGGTCTCTGTTTAATAACATAAAGTCCAAGCTGAATGACAATCCTGAAGCCTATACACATATAATGCGACTATTTAATTAGTCAGGTGTATCTAACGCACATGAGCGCACTTATCGTCTGAAGGAACGGAAGTTAATAGTTGCAGTGTACGTTCGTATGTACGGCCGTTGAATGCGGACTCTAATAGCTGTACAATGCAGTGATTCAATAGGTTCTGTTTGAACGCGGCATCGGAGTCGTCACGCTCGTGTGCACGTCTATGATTCTCCATAAGTTGGGTCATCTGTTTCATAAGTGGGAGGTGCATGTTGTGGTTCTGGCCTCTAGCCAACTTGCGAAAAGCGGAGTTCACTGTTGCTTGTGTCTCGTGATAACAGATCTGTTTAATCTGTAGCATCGGGGTCCACACCTTTAGTCGTCCCGTATTATCTCGAATATGGTCGAGTGTAGACTTCTCCGCCTTGAAGTGAGTCAAAACTCTGTAGAACCATGTGAGACTCCAGGACTCGTCGAGACCTGCTATCTGCACATTCTTCCACGCATAGTATCGTTGAGATGGTATCGACTTGCTGGAAGCTCTGGCCAGTTCTTTGGTTGTGGTACTCGTCGTTGTTCTACCGCCTTGGACTCATACGTTACACGTAGTGTCTTTGATATCGGTTGAATAACCACTGCACAAAGTGTGTCGCTGATGTCTATAGCACGGTAGTGTTCCTCACTGAGTTTGATTATGCGTGCATGGAGCTGTTGTCGGCTCTGCGCAATATCGTCTACTGTGGGTAAAGTGCTGGCCGTCTCCTTGCCCTTAGGAACTGTCTTGTCCTTCTTGGGTAGTGAAGGTCTAGGTGTGAATATGCCCTCACTGGCCGAACCATTGTCGCTGGACGAGTCCTCACTGCTAGGTGCGTCCGGGCCACCACTCGCCTGCTGTTGCTTGCGTGTGTAAGGCTTGTTGTGCTGCCGGAGTAAAAGTACTTCGTCACCCGATGCCTCACGTTCGAACTCCTTGCACTGTTGTTGTCTGCGTGATTTGGTACTCAATTGGTCGTGAATGTCGTCGAGTGCTTCTTTGCTGTGAGGGTTCGCCTTATCACGCGCCTGTCTATGAAGGAGCTCGTGTAGCGATGCATTGAACTGACTGCCCTCAGGTGGAACGTAACCTAATCCATATGTGGTTCGTATGTTTCCTTGAGCACTGGACGTCGGCTATGCGTCTTATTCTATGAGTGAGAGACATATCTTGTGCGTTAGGTGGTCTTTGCGAGGGTCTAGCGAATGTGTGAGTGTAGCCAACTGTTCACGTTGTCGTTCAAGCTGTTCATACAAAGACTTTTATTGAGCTAAGAATGTCTCCATCTCCTCCGTCGTGAATAATGGTGAGATGTGTACCTCCCTTCTGGGGGTAAGGTTGCGCCGTTCCCTTGCACGTGTTGCCTTTCTTCGAGTTACGGCGACGAGCGTGTTTACGGTGGGGTGGACGTCGTGGTACGTTGCTGCTACTCGCCTCGTCAGTATTGCTGCGAGAACGTGTGTGCCGTAACGGACGTGGTGTAGTTGTCCGTTTAGCCTCCGCAGTCGGCTGTTATAGATCACCCTCACTACGTTGCTGCGGATCGCTATCAGTCCCTGCTGCTTTCAGAAACGCTGACAGTGGCGACCGATCGTGTTGAGAACGTGGGCGGGACCCTATTTGAGCATATAGAACCATAATATATCGAATGGAGAGTGACTGTGTGCCAGTGTGTAGGCCTAATGTCGGCCCCTCGATTCACACCCGTTGGAGTACCCTTGCTCCATCTATCGAGTCATCCCTACATTCGGTGCGCCTAAATTTTCTCCAAACCAGAGCTATAAGCTCCTCCCTAAGCTGTCTATCGATGCTGCTGTTGCTGCTCATCTTTCTAACCCTTACACGACGTACTGTTATTCGTCGTCAACGCCATGTGATATGTGCTGTGTCTTTTATAGTTATATAGATTTGTACCCTTACCCCCTCTAGTGTCGCAGAGATATAATCTATTTACCCCGAGTTACTTTCTCACACTCACACTACACAATTTACTTTACATAGTAACTTTGGCGTTGATTCCCGAATCAGAGTATTCGAGTGGCTGGATGTGAGCCAAACCCACTAAACTTCTGATTTGAACTTGCCTCGACCTGTTTGACAAGTCCGAGTTGTCTTCGTGTGCTGACCTATTCCTGGAATTTAGTTTCTACCTAACGCCGACGTGTGCGGAGATGTCGGGTCTCACCCCTTTCATAGGACTGGTTATGGCGTGTTGTGACTTGTATGTGTCTCTTACCCGTCTAGGGATTCTATAGTGTACTACAAGCTTTTCAGTTTCACTCAAACTTCAATCATCACTCCCTGTATACAGTATGCATTCTTCATTTCGTTCTGATCGACAATTGTGTGTATGTGTATGCTTATATCTTGTGGGTATCCTTATGGTTACGTGTATGTCAAAGTGTATATTTGCATTTGTGTGATTACTTGTTTGTTTAATTGTTCTTGTATGTGTGTACCTGTAATATATACATACCTATATACTCGTGTAGAACATTATATATAAGCATCTCTTAACTGTCTGTGTGCATTCGACCATCTCACTACACTTACGCAGTTGACATCTCTACCAAACGTGTATGTGTGTCCAAGTATGATCACACGTATAACTACTTATATAATTGGTATTCATAACTATATATTTAAAAGGAATATATATA